GCCATCAGTTAATTTATTGTTGTTCAGCCGTAGGGAAACTAATTTGAACATTGCATCAAAATAATTTTCAGGTATTGCTTCAATAGAATTACTGTCCAGAAATAGTTGCATTACATTAGGTGGAAGGATTGGTGGCATTTTTGTAAGGGCATTTTGAGCGACGTTGAGTTGCATGAGGCTTCTCAGTCCTTGGAAGGTGTTGCTTGAGAGAGTGTTGTCCAACAGCTTGTTTTGATGTAAGTCTAACATAGTTAGATTTTCCAAATTGTTGAAGACTCCTTCAGGAATTATACTGATTCTGTTTCTTGCTAAACGCAGTTGCTCAAGGCTTATTGGCAGGGGAGCAGGCACCTCTTCTAAATAATTGTCTTCCAGAAACAAGTAGAGTAAACTTTTTAAATTGTTAAACACACCCTTTTCAATTCCATTGGTAGTGATTTTGTTATTGTTCAGATTTATCCATTTTAGTTGGGTGGCATTCACAAAAGACTTTTCTGTAATCGTCTCAATTAGATTGTTTTGGAGATAGAGATACCAGATTCTTGCTGGGATGACAGGTATTTCTTTAAGTGCCTTGCTATCACAGTATAAAGCATTTGGAAAGCTGGGAGGACAGAAACATTCTTGTGGACACTCAAAATTATAAAACAGCCAGTTGTATGGATCAGGTTGATCATCCACTGCTCTGATAGTGCGAGTCCACACAATACTGGTTAAGAAGGATACCAAAAGGCTGGAACAGAATATTATATTCATAGTTTACCTTAAAAAGAGGGCAAAATGAAGTTACAGAATACATTTTCCAGCAACAAAATACATTAATTTAATTTTATAATAAAATTTGAAAGTTTATATTTTCATAAGAGTAAAATATAGTCTTATATCAGTTCTGTCCACTCCCCTACACCCGTCTTTATTAGAAAAAGTGTTGCTTAGCATCTGTGATCTGCAGCTAATTTATGCATCATTCTGGAGTCCTTATAAGTTACAAATCAAATAAGCTGTGTGCACATTCAATATTTGTTTAAAAGAAGCTTTAAAAAAGTTTGCTTCTCTAACCGGTAACAAATTACTTTAACTGGCCTTACCCTTAACCTGGCAACATATTTATCTACAAAAAAACCACCCCCACCCCCACCCCCCCACAGACACACACACAATGACTGACATCATTGCCTTTATTGACAGCTATCCAGCCTTAGTTCAGTGATTCTTTAAAGGATTTTTGTATTCTGTGATGAGAAGGTATCTGGATCAGATTTTGCAGGTCCAGATCTCATTACACACACACTCATTACACAAAGAATATTATAGCTGCTCTTTGGGCAAGTTCCCTCTATGTCTGGAGAACTCTTAAAAATTTACTGCTTTGTTTCAGTTATTTCCTGTGCTACAAATTATTGGCTTTCTTCTAAAAAAAATGTAATTGCTTTGAAAACAAATTCTGTCTAGATTTTCACTTTTGTTGCTTGACACATAATTAGATTTCTTTGCCCAGATCCATTCTTAAAGTATTCACATTGAAGCTAACTTTTTCCATTGCTGTACATTAAAAAATGAATATACAAGCCAAGTTTCTATCACAGGGTAGTATTTGTACAATTCTGTAATAGTAAATCTCAAATTATAAGAGTCTTGATTTATAAAAATTAGCTGTTTAAAAAAAAGAGAGACCAGCTGCAGAAACATATACTGAAGTGTTCTTCAGTAAAGTTTGTGCACTTATGAATAACAAACAATATTAATGTTAAAAATTATAGGGAGTGTTAAAGAAACAGGAAAACAATATTTTGCTCTGTGTGTTTATGTGAAGGGTGTGTTTATATACTGTTGCTTTAAAACATGAAATCCAACATTACAATGTCCTGGCAGCCTTTGAAACTGATGGATAACTGTCTGCAAAATTGCTAGGTATCATATGAACTGAGTGAGAGACATGGAGGGAGACTAAATAATTTTAAGGAAATATTGTAATCTATTGATATATTAATTTGGCATCTCTTTCTCCTACATAAACATTTATGCTCATTTCCAACTTTGATAGAATCAATAATTAAAATATTTTCCTGTACAGGTTAGGTACAGGAGGCTTGTGGAAATTCATCAAAAACAAACATCTTTCTTGCTTTCAGCATTACTTGTAATCTCATTTCCTGAAAATATGTAGCATTCAGATTTAAAATATACAGACACATTATCCCAAACACCTGACTATTGTTTCTAATATAACACTGTTTCAGAATCTAACTTACCTCAGCTTGGATTCTCTTCTTTCTATGGTAACTGTTGTTAGACTATATGAGGATGATACAGGCAACAGGCAGTGTTTTATGAATACAAACTAATATATATATATATATATATACACACACACATACACACACACACACACACACACACATCAGCGACTACAACATTTAACCCCTGAAATAGTTACTTACCTCAGCACCTACACAATAGAATACAGGAAATTCTGTATTTCCCATCAAGAAGACTTTGGAGTTATTCCCGGTAAATACTAAGCTCAGGTTTTGAAATAATGGACTGGTCTTAGTAGAAATCTGCAATATTAATGTAGATGCATTCAAATATTTGCATTTATTTTCAAGCTACTCTAATTAGAGAACAAAGAATTCAAACTAGTGCCATCTGTTCCTGTGGAAACCTTTTATTTGATTTTGATCAAAACCAGATGCAAGAATGTTTTTACAGATATTATTCTTGATTAGGAAGACTAGAGAAGACTGTTCAGAAATCTTGATAAAATAGGTTTGCCACTATTAGAATAGTTTAATACAATTCTTGTTCTTTACATGTTGTAAAATTTCTTGTCCCCAGAATAATGACATTTTCTAGGACTGAAACTTTGCCACTTATTCTAAATGATGCTTTTGCAATCACTCCTCCACCTATACTCTTAAATCCTTTTAAGAATTTATCTCTCTCTAGCTTTCCAATTAAGGATATGTCCATGACACATGGGACGAAGAAGAGGTAGGACAGAAAATCACTACTATTATCATAACCAGATCAATATCCCAGAAAATCTGTCTTTAAATTGGCTGATTCAGCTGATGATATATTGTAGGAGATACACAAGAAGCTGTCTTACATTGAGTGAGACTATGGATTCATCTCATCTAGTACGATCAGCACTGACTTGCAGCAGCTATCTAGGTTTTCATGACAAAGCAGCACCTGATCTAACACTGAGCTATAGTCTTTCTCCTAATGTTTGCCACTGCTAAGGAGCAGACAAGCAGAATGGCCTACAAGTTTCATCAATAGGTGTTAAGAAGCAGGAACATGTGGAGTCTGATTCAACATCACAGAGGTCTAGTTTAATTAACTTTTTGAAAATGCCTTATTGGGCAATAGATTCTTATAACCAGCACTTGCATGATCCTAACCCAACATCCAGTGTCTCCGAACAGAGACACTGGATTTAATTCCTCCTCCTAACTCCTTGCTTGATTGAAAAGATTTTAAAGGTTTTTTTTTTAAAAAAAATCCTTGGGTTGCCAATTCATCATTCCACCTATTGATTATTTTAAAAATTATATTGTACTTTCTGGGGATGTTGTAGATGGCATGACCCAAATGTCATATTGACAACCCCTGACCTAAGGAATAAATAAAGCTTTTTTTTTTCTCACAGATGACTGACACTATCAAAATGTGAAATCTGTTCAATTGAAGTGGGCACGAAAGCATCACATGAGCTGTATGGGTGTAGCATACTGCTGAAAAATCCTTGCACTATGATACAGATGGATAATCCAATCTGTATTCAGTCTGTGCCACTTTCTCCTGAGATTATCCATAATCTTCTTAGTCATTAAAGTTGCAAGAAAACCAAGAGAATGCTAACATCTCTGTCAAAAATATGGAATAAAACTGAGTGGCCTAGAGGCCTAGAGAGAAAAGACCTATCTATAAGCCTCTATCAGAAAAGGGAGACTGGAGAGAAACAGCAGATTACCCATGCTTTGTGCTCATTTCCTATGGAACCAAAGTTTTGCTTATGCTGTTTAAAAAATAGAGTCATACATGGAGAGAGAAATGCCAAATGAATTGACAAGTTTCAGAAAAGCTAGACAGGCATAAAATTGATAATGTTAAATAGGTAATGGAAAGTGAAAAGGAAGTTTACTTTTGTTTCATTGACTATTGCAAGGCCTTTAACAACATAGCACATGCCATAAAGTGGAAAATACCAGAACACCTGATTATTCTTCTGAGGAATTTTTAAAAAGAATAAGAAGCTACTCTAAGAAGTGAATTAGGAGAAGTTCAAAATAAGGAAAGGAATAAACAGGGTGCATATTGTCCCAATATCTCTAACTTATACAGCTAATATATAACAAAAATGGTAGGATTGAAAGTGATGCCAGCTGGAATCAAAATTGGAGTTCAAAATACTAACAACTTTTGAGATATGCAAATGCATATACCTGCAAGAGAAAGGAAGAAAGAAGTTAATGTGGTATTGCACAACTAAGATAAAGTAAGAGAAAGAAGATAGACACCTTTGATTATGGATTTGATACAGTTAAGTAAGAGTACCAAAGAACCAGTTGATCAGTCCTGGATCAGACAGAAAATTTGCAGGATTCAGATCCAAAGCAGGCAAAAGTTAGCACCCTCACTGAACCTGTAAGTAGTTCCTTAAAAGAACCAGGCCTTTCCTGTGCTTGCTTGGGTTGTGTGTGCTCAGGAAAATAGGTGTTTTGAGTTGGGAGGCATGAAGGAGTGATGACAATCCCTCAAAGGAAGATTAGACCACACAAACCATAATTCTTGCCTGCCTCCTTTTTGTACTCATAATGACACAAAGATGAACTTCTGATTTTAAGATAAATTGTTTTGGGGAAAAAGTAGTCTTCCTTTCAGGTACACGCTAAATTCTTTATTCAAAGTTCTAACACATTGAACTTCAAATAAATGTAGTTATGGATATGCTATGTTGTAAATTTCAGGGAACCTAAAGCTTTAATGACTCAGTTCTAAAGATAAATATTTTGAAATGTACCGTTTTAATTAAAGTTGCATGTAAACATAACCTTTCAGTGCTTCCTCTGCCAACACTATGCTATGTTTTCTGTTGGAGAAATGACTTAAGGCAGTAATTTAAGTAGTAAACTTTTTCATACTCAGTACAATTATTGGTCTGACAAACTAGCTTTACTAGTCATGCTGACTGGCACTGGCTTTTCATTTTACTTGCTTTTTTTCCCCCATCGCTACAGATGTCCGAGAGTGGACATCTGTAGCAATCTATGTACAGCATGTGTTCTGCAAAACAATTGAAAACCCTCCACTATCAGTTAGATGAATAACATCAGGAGGCAGGAATGAAGGCTAAATGAGAAACAAACACAGTTATGTGCAAACTTTGGTTATTATTTTATCAGTCTTGTTTCTATGATTTTGATCAGTTTTCTGAAAAATAATGTCATTGTAATTCTAACTATAGTATAGCATCTGATTTTCATTAGTTTTTATTTATTTATTCAGTAGTTATATCCTGCAGTTAGACAAAACTATTTAGCCCATTCAAGGAGCAAACTGAAGTTCAAAATCTTTTAAGGAGCCTAGCATTTAATAATTAGGATTACAAAACTGTGCGTGGTAATCCTTAGACTATGGCAGCTGCATTTTCTCCTGAGAAAGGTACGGTTCCAACAGACCTGCTAAGTAACCTTTTTCATCTCCTCCTGTTCCTTTAACCAAGTTTCATCCGGAGAAGCTAGTTTAATTATTCCTAATTGCTCAGTGAAACTTCCATGCCCAGAGGCAATATCTATACTGCTGCAATGACAACAGATAAACATTGTCCACTCCTCTGATTGTCATCAACTTAGAAACATCTGGCTAGTGATTGCAGGGGAAAAGGTGTTCTGATTCAGGAAGTGTTAAGACACTGAGCTCTACCACACCAGTATTAGTTCCACCACTATTATTTCCATTATCCCAAATAAATCCATAGCGGCACTGTGCCTTTCCACTGGTCTTGACTTTAAAATTCTTACTGGTGTTGAATTAATGTACCAACATTGTGATGGCATGACCCACATGCCATCAATCTCATCTAGATGACAAGGGAATTATCCAGACCCTCTTGGCAAGGGAGGGGGCAGTTAATAAACTTTAGTTGGTTTATTTTCCCTTTGCTTTCTAACCCTGCAGTGAGAAAAGTAAGCTGTTCTTCCATTGCATTGTTTCCAATCTTCTTTCACCAAATTTTGTCAAAAAAGAAAAGAGTAACATTCCTCCTTTTTTCATGGATCTGTTAGTTCTCTCTACCCAGGTTGATCCAGAACTGCTATGCTCTTTAATATTCTTCAGTGTAAAGAACAATTATATGGTGTTTGATGAAAGACGAAGACGATAGCAGCCACCCTTGATGATTTAGAATCCACCTTGACTAGATATTTCAATGGAATATTCCACTGGAAAGTTATGTAATGGGGCAAGCATTTCTACAGTATTCAATACTTCCCTCTAAAGATATACAGGAATGTCATCTCTCTAAATTACGTTAAGACTCCTATGCTAATATCAGCATCTGAAAATAAAAACAAACACAGATAAACTAATATAAAAAGATCAGACTTGACATGCACGTTCTTCTTATAAGGCCATATTATGGTGGCTTGCTTTACTCATTACCTGGAGGTCTCTAAAATTGAATAGTTTGCAACAGAGAGCAAAATGTCACTTTTTAATAATTAAGAGCAGGCTTATCTATCTACTAATTGAAACATAATTTAGGAATTAAATTAGTTTAACACTGCAATTCTCTCATATATGATCATTTCCTCAGGAATGATTTTTAGAGTCATATACTGGCACATAGCTATTGGGATGATATAAAGTCTGTCTTTATTACTGATACATAGGCATAAGAAAGATTGGATGATGCTAAATGGAGCTATAAATCACCATGTAGAACTAAGTTGCAACAAGGACAATGCAGCTAACCGTTGGCAAATGATAATTGTCTTGCAACAATTGCATTGTTAGTCCACATGACTTCAAAGTAACTACACAGTTTCACAAATACTATGATTTGTGGTTTGTAGTTGATTCTCCTGTACAAGTAACTGTAAGCCAATGTCAGTAAGAACTATAAATCTACCCATCATAAAACTAAAGCCAGTTATTTCCATCTGTAAAATATAGAGGGTTTTTGAAATCCATCTTCAGATCTTCCCAAATGAGCTGGCATGTTTGACTGACCAGCTTCACATAATTGGACCCAGCAGTCTCAATGAAAAGAAACAAAAAGGCGTTTCTGGAAATATTGTTCAGTCTTTGTGCAATGCAATTCTACTGCCTCGATTAAGTTATTTTGGTGTAATAAAGATGTGATGGACTACAAATTCCATAATTCACAGTCATTGGACATGCTGGCTATTAATTCTGGGGTGTAAATCAATACATCTGGAGGACACCAGCTTGGAAAATGCCTTCTAAAATACTTTGCTGCCAATACCTTCTTTTCAGATTGCTCTGAAACTCCAGGCCAACCACAGTTATCTAAGAAATTGACCAACTAGTTAAATAATTTTTTTTTTAAATGTTCAGAGTTAAGTGACACACTTGCTTGAGCAATGTTCTCCCTGCACCAACCCTTGTGCCCTTCAGATCTATTTCCTTTGTAACAAATTGGAGTATTTGATGAAGAAAGTTGCAAAAAAGGAAATATCTGCTCAGCCCATGGTTGCTATTCTGTTGGTAGATGGAATTTATTTTATTTATTAATTTGCCACCCAAATAAATGAAGACTTTGAGTGACTAACAGTTAAGATCAGTATAAAAAAGCAACCCCTCCAAAATAATAAATCTATTCATAATATAAACATTGACAACTTTAAAATGATAAAAATAAATATGCAGTCATGAGCCCATCAGATTCCAAACTTCATTTACCTTCATTTTTCTGTCCTCCTCCTGTACCACATAGAGCAACCAGGTCTTAATTGCTCTCCTGAAACCCAGGAGAGAAGGAACAGAATGGATCTGTGGGAAGGAAATTCTAAAGTATGGGATCACCAATGGAAACACTGAGGTGCCATCCAATGACAATCTCATATAGATGGTCCTGGAAGGAATTGACCCGGTTGGATCTGATCAGCCAGACAGATGAATATAGGACAAGGCAGTCCCTCAAATAATCTGGCCTTGAATCACACCCAGAAGCCAAATGGCAACAATGCAGCTCCCAAAGTGGGTCACTTGAACATATCAGGATACACCCGCCATCAATTTTTTGCCAGCTACAGCTTTTGAAGGATTACTCTTCAGTAATCCAAGCAGGATGTGACTAAGACCTGAGTGACTGTGAGAAGGGTCTCCCAATCCAGGAATGGCTGCAATTGATGCACAAGCCAAAAGCCTTCCTGGCCACATCTGCCAACAGCTGATTGAGCAGTATCTATTAGTCCAGGAACACCCTCAAACTGTGTATCACCTTTAAATGGGGGAATACAATTCCATAAAGAATCAAATATAGTCCCAGAATCATTTGATCCATAAACCAAAAGCCACTCCTTCTTGGATGATTCAATCTGAGTCTGTTCCTTTCCTTCAGGCACTTCTACTGGATCATCTGTTTGGCCCATGGGCAAGAGATATAGCTAGGTACAACAGCACACTGGTAACACTGTTCCAATGAATAACATCCCCCAGTGGTTTCATGTAAACATTAAAAAGAAGTTGAGAGCATACAAAACACGGAGGCACTCCAAAAAATAGAGGTCTCCAGACAGCTCACCCCTCCCAGCTAGAACCACCCCCTCGAGAAGGAGGAAAGCTATTGCAAAACATTACTTCCCATGGCAATCCATGTAAGTGGTCCAGAAATATATCATGGTCAATGGTAGCAAAAACCACTGAGATTAATGAGGACCAAGAGGGTTGCCTTCCCCTGATCCAGATCTTCCAGAGATCATCCATAAGTGTGACCAATACAATATTTATTAATTAATTAACATTAATTAATTAATATAGCTGCCCATCTACCAGAGCAACTCTGGGGAGCAAAGCAAAATAAAAACAAAATCCAAATATACAATTAAGAGAAACTATGTTGAGGCTCCTAAACAATCTTCATGCTGACATATCCAGAACACATCCACACTCATGTGAGAGATCCAGCAAAGTCCTGGCCCCAGTGCCTGGGGAAGAGCCAGGTCTTCACAGCCTTCCAGAAAGCTAACAGGATCAGGACTGTCCCCATCTTATGGGGAAGGCTGTTTCACAAGACAGGCGCCATGATAGAGAAGGCACACTTCCTGGACCTCGCAAAGTGACACTGTTTCACTATCGGGATCCAGGGCTTGCCCACCATCTCTACTTTAGTGGGATAGATAGAAACCATTAGGAAGAGGTGTTTCTGCAAGTAACCTGGCCCCATGCCATGTAGGGCTTTAAAGGTGACAACCAGCACCTTGAATTGCATTCAGAAGTCTACTGGGAACCAGTGCAGCTCACATAGCAATGGGGTTACATGGACATACTGTGGTGTGCCAAATAATGCATGTGCTGCTGTGTTCTGGACCAACTGAAGCTTCTGAATGCTCTTCAAGGGCATCAACAATACTAGTAAAGTGCATTGCACTAGTCCAATCAGGAGGTGACTAAGGCATGAGTGATCATAAGCAGTGCCTCCCAATCGAGGGACAATTGTAACTGGTGCACAAGATGTAATTGTGCTAAGACTGTCTTGGCTATGGCTGCCACCTGCTGCTTGAGCAGGAACAGGAGACTCCAGGAGAAGCTCCAGATTATGCACCAATAAAAAATCACTAGATATTAGGGAGCCCTAAATTCTGCCACCACTCAGTCTTGCATTGGTTGTGCCAAAGCTGGTTCTTCCCCATCCAGACCCGTACAGTTTCCAGGCATTGAAAAAGTACATTAATTGCATCACCTGGGTGACCCAGGACAGAGGTACGTAACAGAATAATATCAGCATACTGATAATACTTCAGTCTATGCTGACAAATGACCTTATCCAGTGGTTTCATGTAGGCATTAAATAGGAGCAGGAAGATAGCTGAGAGCTGTGGTACCCCACAATACAGGATTATATTATAGATGAGATATACTGTATTACAGACTAACCCAGCATTCAGCAATAGCAGGCAAAAGTAGCAGGGCCATTGAAGCTTTGATTACCAAACTTCCATGTGCACATGCGTCTTCGAATCAGTTTTTGACTCCTGCCAACTGCCTGGACTAGTCCCTGCAGTTTTCTTGGCAAGGTTTTTTTTGGAAGTGGTTTGCCATTACCTGCTTCCTAGGGCTGAGAGAAAGTGACTGGCTCAAGGTCATCCAGCTGGCTTTGTGCCCAAGGTAGGACCAGAACTCACAGTCTCTCAGTTTCTAGCCTGATGCCTTAACTACCATACCAAGCTCTCTAAACTTCCATGCTATACCCAGTCTTGAAGCCTGATTGCCAAGGGTCCAAATAATCCACTTCTTCAATGTAACACTACTAAAAGCACCATTTTTACTGATACTTTAACATGAATGTAAAATTGTGTGCAAATGAATATATCCATTTGGCACACCAACAAAGTAGCAGTGAACATTGAATAAGATAAGTGAGAGAATGTCGGATGGCGGGGCCCAGGAGGAGCCTCCTGTGCCGTTTCCCCCACCCTTTGGAATATTCTCCCCACAGAGATGCAGCAGGGCCCTACCATCCTGGCTTTCCAGAAAGGATTAAAGACCTGGCTCTGCCAGCTTGCATGGGGTGACAATAATCTTACCCAATCCTGGGGTGGCTGGTGCCTCAGTGACACTCCCCGAGTGACTGCCAATTTTAACATCTATTTATTTTCTATTTATTTAAGATGATTGCATATTGTAATCTTAATTGATTTTAACCACTTTGTAAACTGCCCAGTTTCAACAAGATGGGTGATGACAAATTTGATATATAAATAAATAAATAAAATAGATATGTTTTAAATACAGTAACAGAAAATATAACCAATCCTAGCAGTTTGGAAGTGTGAATAGAATTTCAAGACATCCAGTTTATCTGAATTTTTCTTTTCTAAATTCATTCTTCTCTTGATACATAAGTATGCAGAAAAAGGATGGGCTATCTTTGTTTCAAAACATGAATTAAAAACCACCTTTAGAAGGAAAAACAATACCTTGGTTGTCTGGTATTTTGTATAGTGGTTTACTGACTTTCTTAGAAATTTTAACAGTCAAAAGGCAACATTTTGTGATGATGTGGCTTGGCTCCTGTTGAAGTCAAATGAAATTATAACAAGATCCAGATAAATTTAGTTTCTTCCAAAAGTAGTCTATGCATATGTATTTCCCCCTCTGTCCTCCTGATTCTTTTGGAATGATTTCAGTTTGCTTATTGGCTATAAACATGTGAACTTACATAAAGAGTTTTTAGATGGAGATTCTGTCTATAAAACTTATCCCAGAAAGATTTACACTAAAATTGAATTTGAAAATCAACAGCAGAGCTGAATCCCTCTGGAAATCTCAGACTAAGGGGACACATTCATACATTCAGATACACATGTAAAGCCAGAATAAAACACAAGCTGGGGTAAAATGAAAAGGATTTGTGACAGAAGCCAGAGTACAATATCTAGTATATCAGCAGTTTTCAAACTTAGCAACTTTAAGATGTGTGGACATCAACATGCTGGCTGGGGAATTCTGGGAGTTGAAGTCCAGGCATCATAAAGTTGCCAAGTTTGAAAAACATTGTAGTATATCCAGGCTATGCACAAGAACTTCAGCTATTTATTTTAACTGGAACACCTTTCTAATTCTAGAAACTAACACACAGGAAAACAGATGCGTTGCTTGCTACAGTTTAAATCTTCCATCTTTCCGAATCCAGGAACAAGTTATTACCCTAATCATGACTTGACATTTTTTTTAAATTATCAAACTAACACACAGGAAAACAGATGCGTTGCTTGCTACAGTTTAAATCTTCCATCTTTCCGAATCCAGGAACAAGTTATTACCCTAATCATGACTTGACATTTTTTTTAAATTATCTCTCTTCATAGCCTCTCATTTTGCAAAGCTTTATTGAGGGTGCTTTAAGAAACAAATTCCCATGGTACCTTTTACTGCTTGTGCTTCAAGTGATGTGATAGGAAAAGC